CACCCTGCAAGAAAATTGCTCTGATAATTTTTCGTTACGTTTACAAGGCGTCCATATTTTTGATGTCTATTTTCCGTAAAAGTCTCCATAATAAAACATAACTTTTCCAAAGCCTAAAATTTAACTGACGGCTAACTTCAAACTTTTTTCTTGATTGCATTAATTTTTGCCACCGATACTTCTCATCCAAAAAATAACCTCTTCGAGCTTCTCAGATAATTTATCAATACTCTGTGTATTTCAAGTAGAACATTAATCAGGAAATTAACTAAGGGCAAATTATGCGTTTTTAAAATGCTCTGAAAATTTCAATGCGTTAAATTGAAAAATGTGCGGTCCTATGTTCTATTTGATGTTCAGAACATACAACTAAAATTATATAAACGCCTCGACATGTGAAACACTCGTCTGCATTGTCTCTGCTATTGTGTATTTTAGCATGCTATAACTTTTATAGCATGTTTATGTTCTCTGCAGAAAATAGAATATTAAAAATTCCGTTAACGTCATCTGGTACAAGACGCAACTCTATAAATTCTGGTGGAGTCCATGTCATAATAGATATAGTTCGTTCAATAGTGATGCATTTTAAAGACAACAAGATAATTAAGCACAGCACTTATGGCTGATAATATGGCAGAATTGCGAATTTCTGCGCTTTGCAGTAACGCAGGCGATCATGGCGTCTCATGCTATGGGCGATAGCAATTCAGTACCTCTGACTTTGTTTCTAGAAAACAACCTTTCCAAAAACAGCAAACATTGGGTAAGGAAACAGAAGAAACACCAAACCAATAGCTATTAGAAGAAAAAAATTGTGCAAAAAAAGTGCATGCAAAAGTCCGCTGTATATGCCAGGGGATTTTGTTAAGCTTTCATGACAAGACGTCCTAGTTGAAATATTAAAGCAACATCTTGATAACTACTGAAAATATATGAATGATAATACATGATATACCTATAGCATAGTTGATTTGACTCATGTATCTTTTGACCTTGAAAATTGCAGCAACAGAGTACATATTTATTCTAAACATCCACTAGTTTAACATATTTAAACAAAATTTCATTACTGTGAAAATTTGCTGCCAAAAATGCACGCACTACATGAAATTAACCTAGCATATCAGTTAACTATTATGCAAAACCAAGAACAAAACGAAAAATATCAAACAAAAAACCAAAACATTAGTAGCGAAAGGAACTCTTTTTGGTATCTTGAACTAAATGTTGCTGCTAACACTACCTACTAAGGGCTATATACTACATAAGAACTTAATTCGTAGAACCTCCAGACATAATCTACTATCTAACTACTTGTATATGTATAATGTTTGACCCAATTTGGATCTCAACAGCATACGGAAACAGTGTTACTCTGGAGTTTAATTCATAGACCTTTTGCTGCGAGCTACATATTTACCAAAATATACTACCATACTCTCTAGCCTCTACAATGAATTGAGTGAGTCGAGCAACATGTCAAGGATACCGTATATCCATAATATATATGTAGTCTTGAAATTAGCATAAACATATCTGTCAGAATCTGAAAAGCATTTCTAGCGTTAATCAAAATCTCGAATGAAGAGAAAACTAAATATATACAAGGTCTGTCGTGAAGTAAACAGGACAAAGAAAAAATGAACAAACATTTTTTGTTTCGGAAAATCGAATTTATTTTATTCAAAATAGTCTCCTTCTCAATACAGCGATTTGCACGTCGGAATGCCGCTGTCCTTTCATAGTTCACCGAACAGAAAATAGTCATACGGTATCTTATCAGTAGAATATGAGGAGTGATTGATGGTTAAAATGCCTTTTTTTGTACAAAAATCGGACACAAGCGTCGATCGATGAGATGGTGCATTGTCGAGCAGCGCCAGCTTCCTTCTTTGCGATATTCTGGCCGAACACGACGAATACGCGACAGCAAACGCCTCATAGCACCAAGATGCATCACAGCATTAACCGTTTGGCCCGGTAGAACGAATTCTTTGTGAATAATCCCTTCGAATCGTAGAAACAAATGAACATCTTCACTTTGGACTCTTCCAAACAGCTTGTTTTCGGATTTGGCTAGCTTGGGTGTTTCCATTCGGCACTTTGACGTTTGGTTTCGGGATCGTATTGAAAACATGACGTTTCGTCACCAGTTACAATGTTGTACTGAAAGTTTTTGTCTTTTTTGTCCTCTTTAATGATGTTTCTCGGATTTTGAATTCGAAACAATTTTTGGTTTGTGCGGAACATACCAAATTCTTGGTCAAAATGTGATAGATTGAATCTTTAAAGATATTTAATTCCATTTCTATACAGGGTGTTCCTTGATGATATGCGAATATTTAAGGGTGTGAATTTACATGAAAAATTAATGGTGGTTTGCTGTATAAACGATGGTACAAAAATGTTTCCTCACAGAAACTCGGGGTGTTGAAGTTTTAGGAATAAAATGGAAATTAATATTTTCAGAACCGCTTCAGATATGTCACTGATATTTAGTACGCAATGAAAGCTAATAAAGTTGCATATTTTTCAATGCAAAAATAATTTTTGGCTGTAACTGTGGCGTGCGTACGGGTATTGATTTCGATATTTTTTAAGAAAAAAATCGTACGTCAACTTTTTTTTTGTTCCCCGTTCAATTTAAAACAAATGATTTCTCTTGAGTTGCTTTCCTTCGATGCGTCATTTTTGAGTAAAAAAATAAAAACTGTTTTATTGTCTAACTTGCAAAATTATTATTAATTTAATTGGAAAAATTAAACACATTAGGGGTAATGAACAACAACAACTGACGGCATAAATCATCATTGACTCAAATTGCAGATTTTGAATATGATAAGGATATAACAAAAAATCCACTAAAATTCTCCAAACAATTTGATGGCAAATATTTAAGTGTCTAGCGATCTTCTTCGTACTCGTTTCAGGATGTTCTTCGGCTTCATGCTGCACTGCTTCCTCAATTTCAGGTGATCTCACACTTAGAGGTCTACCTTCAGATGTTCCTTTTTGGTCAGAACCAGTTTCAACAAGACGACGATGAATATTAGAAAATATTCGACTATCTGGCAAAGCACGATCGGGATATCTCTGGTGATAAATCCATCTGGCTTGCTCACCATTACCGTCGGCAAGGCCATATACGTAATGCATTTCCGCCATTTCTGCATTTGAATAATTCACGGTTATTAACAAGATTGTAAAAACTAAATAATGAAAAAGTTGTCACAGCAAACAGATTTGAATAACAGAGACTTGTCAGATGTCAAAAGCCAGTGACATATTCCAGAGCAACTAGATTTTTATTGTTAAATTGCATTCTTCAATTATCACATTAATTTTCTCAGAGAATAGAACGGTTTTTATTTTTTTACTCAAAAATGGCGCTTCGAAGGAAAGCAACTCAAGAGAAATCATTTATTTTAAATTGAACGGGGAATTCAAATATAATTTTTATTTGGCAAACAACTATTGGCGCACCTTTTTTTTTCTTAAAAAATACCGAAGTCAATACCCGTAGGCACGCCATTGTTAAAGCTAAAAATTATTTTTGCATTGAAAAATATGTAACTTTATTAACTTTCACTACGTACTAAATATCAGTGAAATATCCGAAGCGGTTCTGAAAATATTAATTAATTTCCATTTTTTTCCTAAAACCGAGTTTTTGTAAGGAAACATTTTTGGACCACAGTTTATAAAGCAAACTAACATTAATGTTTCATGTAGATCATCATCATTAAGGAACACCCTGTATATGTCAACGAAGACTGGATCATTTTTGATAAATTCATGCACTTTTCGACGGTTTCTGGCGTTATCATAAAGTTTGGCTGGCCAACCTGTTCGTCATCTTCCAGCGACTCACGACCCTCTTTGAACCGTGTAAACCACTCGTGGACTTGGTTACGAGATGAACAATCCTCACCATACACTTGCATCAACATCTGATTCGTTTTGGTAAACGTTTTACCAAGTTTAACATGGAACTTAATATTGGATCTTTGTTCGATGTTCATTTTTCGACCGATGCTAAAAAGGTATTGACACTTTGAGCGCGATAACTCCGCGTGAAGTGGTTCGATTGTTACGAAATTTTAATAGGGTATCAATGAAAGATGTACCTATCCAACACTAGTCTAGATAGCGCTACTTGTATAAGATATCTTTCAAAAGTCCTGTTTACTCTGCGACAAACCTTGTAGTATATGCTTTGAGATACCGTAGGGGAACTTGACGGTATGCCACTGGAATGTTATCTTCTGTTGGTGAAAGAAAATCCTCGATGACAATTTCTTCTGATGTCACCTAGTGTGCCCTAGTGTCACCTTATTCAGAAATGTCAGGTACTTAGACCAATGCTCAGGAATTTGATATTTCATACCTGTCTTGTTAATTCTTAAACTTCGGAATGCCGTCTGTCTTTAATAAAAAAGAAAGTCGTTTCTACAATTGTAGGACGCCTTTATGGCCTCCTTGATTTTCATAGTATTTTTTCTCCTTTAGAAAGGCTGGGTATATCTAGATTTCTGCTGTTCCATGTCAGCGTTCTATTTTGAGTTTGTATTTTCTTTTTGAAATCTAAGAAATTTCAAGCTTGATTTTTATCATCTGTTTTATCAGCTAGAAATTTTTTAAGGTTCCAAAAGAAAACAACCTCACAATAGGAGAGCGCTGACACTGACACGGAAGAGTAGAAATCTAGAAAAGACTAACAAAATCTAGGAGGCCGTAAAGGCGTCCTACAACTGTAAGGAACAACTGACGACACGGCGCTAAGAAGTATTTAGCAGATGTGCTCTAAAATCACGATTTTGTACTTTTGCTGTTATGTTTATCAATCTGACAGTTATGTGTACGCGCAAAGCAGCTGATCGGACAAACCAGCCAAGGCAATCAGCGAGCGACAGAAAAACAATCCAAACCAACCGAAACACAACACACACAAAATAGAGAAAGACAGACAGACAGAGAACATAGAGATAATAGCGTACCACCGGTGCTCCGGTGGCTGCATGTGCGGCGGTTGCGGAGGCCGCGACAGCGGCGACTGCAGCCGCGGCAGCTGCAGCGGCGGCCGCCTTCGAATGGGCGGCCTTGATCTGCGCCTGCAAATGCAGCGGGGGATGGAAGTATCTGCAGGGGTCGCGGTTGCACCGGCCCTTCACGGCGTCCATGCACACGGTCACCGTGCCGTCTTCGTTCACGGCGACCGATTCCGGCGGATGGGCGAACCGGCACTCGCCCTCGGGACGCTTGCACGCGCCGCGCTGGAACTCGCGGCACACCTATGGGTTCCAAGGGAGGGGGCAACACATGTGCCGACGGTCAGTGATGGGTTCAGTGTGGGTTTGTACGAGACGAGGACAGTGCCGATTGTTTGGGAGGTGGGAGATGTTGGGTGGAGAGATTTGGTTTCGAAACATTGCACCACGAATAGTTTGCGTTAAATGGTCGCCATACGCAGAACTTGACGATATCAACCGGTATTATGTCTAAAAACGTTATTTACATGAACTATAGGCTACTTGTTTGGAAGATATGCTACTTAGTAACATACAGAGTGTCCCAGAGTGACACAGGAGGTAGATTAGCTTCAGATCAATTAGATGAAATCAACATGATCTAAGTAAAGTTTTCTAGTTTTCGAGATATTTCCATTTTTAAATTCTTTCAAGAAACCTCTACTTTTTGTTTCTTTTTTGCCTGTTATGGCTATAAAGAACTTGTAACTAATGCTTTTTTTTCCTGGGCTACCATTAATACAGGGTGCGTCAACTATTACCTTTTTTCCGATTTGAAAAATCAACACGCTTTTTACGAGGTGAAATCGAATTCTTTTATTGATAAATGTAGGTTGGTTTATGCCATTTATGTATGAAACAGGAACATCAGTCATGTGACCACCACCTTTCAATGACTTTTCCCAAAATAATCGGGTCTATGGCCGCAATTTCAGTCCGAATATTGCGCTTTAGGTCTTGAATTGTCCGGGGACCATTCGCATACACTTTTCCTTTCCAAAATCCCCAAAGGAAATAGTCAAGAGGTATTAAATCGCACGGGGACAAACTGACATCTGAATTTCGTGAAATTATGCGGTCTTGAAATTTCGTGTACAATAAGGCGATTGTTTGGCGAGATGTGTGAGCCGTTGCTCCATCTTGATGAAACCAAAGATCGTCGGCACCAATACGATCCAGTTGTGGCCACAAAAGTCTGTTTAGCTGGTTGAGACAACTGAGTATTCATTTCATTGAAAACCAGCACGGTATGCTAAGTGGCAATATCTCGAAAACTAGAAAACTTTTACTAAGGTATGTTGATTTTATCTGATTGATCTGAAGCCAATCTACCTCCCGTGTCACTCTGGCGTGTTATTTCTGGAACACCCTGTATAGCTACAAGGCGAAAACGTTAATTTTTTTTTAAGAAATACTATGTGTTTTAGTTTATACTGAAAGGCCTCTTCAAGAATTTGGGTCGAAACCTCGGGTGCTACGGTATATTTTGTCAGGAAGAACACTAATTTTGACAGCTTTTGTATCTTTGCAGGTAGAGTAACAAACTTTTGGTCAAAACGAATTTCATAGTTTTCCCTCGTTTAGGCCCGATTTTACTATTCACCCGCGGACTCGAAATTTGCTATCTAGACGCAAGTTCGGAAAATCGAAAAGAAGGGGACCTGGTCGGAAATTCGGTCAATCAAAAAGAATGATTTGTGCACTGCTCGAAATATAGATCAAACCTGATACAATATCTAGATTTATATGAAATCAGTTACGGAGCATTTTATTGAAAACTCGCTACTTACATGAGAGAGATAAATTTAAAAACAAGGATATATTTTTAACTATCCCTCAACATGCCCAATGACATTAGCCACAAACACCTATTTCTTCTCTTTGTAGATTCGTATCGGGTCAGTCAAACTAGATCATTAATTTTTTTCATTGGAGTACAAAATCGTTCCTAATAAATTCTTTGAAGACATAAACAAAATTATAGGATGCCCATTATTTATCAAAAATCGAGTAAATATTCAATTCACTTGTCTATTGAGCAAACAACCCTGTTTGTTTTCAAGTTCTTTTGTGCTCAACACGTGTTTAGAGCAAATTTTCCTGGCGCCCTCTACTGGACGGTGACAAGGAGAGGCGGCATAGTCATTCCACTGTACAGTAGAGAGCGTTTGCGGTATCATTGGCTCTCTCTTGCAACAAGCCAGGAAAATTAGGTACAAAGATGTATTTAGCATAAAAGTAGTTAGAAAGGAAAAGGGTTTTTCGCACGGCAATGAGGTAAGCATTATATTTACTTGATGCTTGTTAAAGAATAAGCATACTTTGATTTTGTCTCCAAATAATGTATTAATCAGAATTTTGTACAAGGTCAAAAATCAATGATCTAGTTTGACTGACCTAACAAATCTATAAAGAGAGAAGATAGATTTTTGTAGCTAACCTCAATGGACATGCTGGATGATTGTTAAAAAGATATATTTTTTTTTCAAAACTATCGCTTTCAGGTAAATAGTGTTATTTTCAGTAAAATGCTGTCTAATCAAACTAAATATTGAATCAGGATTGATACATGTTTCGAGCAGCGCCAAAATATTTCCTTTTTTTTTTTGGTGGAAATACCGCCATAGTCGCAGATTTTATGCCTCAGGTCAAATAAAAAAAATGTTTTTGTTGCACAACTAGATGATATATGAAGTATTTTTTGATTTAATATGATATTCAAGGGCCCATTTAACACAAATCGTATAGTTTTTCTCTAATTTATGAGATATTTTACAAGAAATCAATTATTTTCATTAGATCCATTTCAAAAACACCCTTTATATTAATACGATTTTTGGTTACGCTTTCCACTTAGTGTAACATCTTTGGTGGATTAATATGCTAAATTTTTTAGTTTTTTGCAATTTTTGAGAAATTAAAATTCAAAATACAGGTAAATAAACACCTCATGACTTGAAGAAAGGTATTGTAGTATTTACTTATTTGAAATTATAATTTCTGAAAAACCGCAAATTACTCAAAAAGTAGTAAATTTAGTAAACTACAGGTTATAAACAGACTAACAAAAAAACTAAGAATATACATGGTGTTCTAGTTTAGGATTTTCGAGGAATAATATATTTTGCGCAAGTGAACAAACTTTTTGCAAAAAATAAAAAAAAGTTTAAACGGTGTTAAACCATCGATTATGGAGATTACTTCGAAGAAAAATTTGCTACTCTATCGCAAAAATTACTGACTTATGAGCTATCAAAGTTGTGTGTTTTTTCGAATAACATCAAGTAGCGGTCCAAACCTATTATTAGTATTTAGTAAGAAATGTCTTCATTTGAAGAGGTCTTTCAAAATATACTAAAATGTACAGGGTGTTTCATTTGAAAAAATCGATGTTTAGTTGCCACGGAGTTATGAATCTCCCTACAGAGAGCGGTATATTTTCAAGGTAAGACGCATATAGTTGCTCATAGTTTTCGGAAATACCTTTTTAGATACATTTCATAATAGCGGAGAAATTGACTCAACTCAACCTGTAATTAAACTCGTTTTCTTTCACTCACCAACCATCGACGCAAGCTACCTTAGTACAATATTTCGAAAAATATTTGGCCCACCTTAATGGAGAATCTTGTTAAGGGATAAAGAACAATACGGATAAAAATAAGAAATAAATCAGGAAAATATATGAGGCCAATGATTTTAAAATGGTTGAACAGTCAGTTGTGAAATGTTAGTGTGAAAGTTTTCATGGAATTTATTAGGATCTCATAGTAATGTATTTTACTTTACTCAAATTGATTTAGTATGGGAAATATGCCCATGTGGAAAGAATCATGAGTGATGAATAGACGAGGAAATGGGAAAATTGAATGATTGAAGGTCAAATAATTTATCTCCAATAGAGATAAACATTAGCTATTGTTAGGCGAATTTCACACAATCTTCAATTACTGTGATTCATCATGGAATTTGATATTTATTAGGCGGAAATCCACTGACTCTGATGGAATGATCAGTAAATACTGATGGTAGGGACCGCAGTAAGCATTGATCGTGTGATATTCGCGTTGTTACGTAAATTGTAAGGATGGCTGAAGTAGAACTGAAGTGGAACATTGTCAAACAACGTTGGTAGAAATTTTGAAAATTACAGGAGAAACTACCGAAAATATTCTTACATAGGTGTACTAGGGAAGGAAAATGCAAATGAATGGGGATGGAAATAAGTGATGTGATTGTTAGGTTGTATTCAAGAGTAGATTTCGCTGTTTTCTTTATCCAGGAATCACGATGATATGAACTAAGATCGATATATTATTGAGCGTAGTTACAATTGCGTTTTAGTTATCAGATACGCTATTCAAAACACATTTTATACAAATGTACATGCTACAGACATTTTTACATGAAGTTACAACTATCTACAGCTAATAACGTTACCTTTTGATGAGAATCCGGACTCCAAAAAATCGGTTACGCTATACAGCTCAATCACTTGATGACACTTGATGAACTCCTAAGATTACTTTTTGATTATTTAATCCAGCTCTATTGCAATTACATACTCTTGAACGCAACCATAATATTTTCGCAATTTCTTTTTGGACAGACCATCTTTCTACATCAGCACTTGTGCGCGGTTCAGATCACCATATTATATTTTCCCGATAAAAAACTATCCAATAAAATATTTCAAAACCTATTTTTACTATAATTTTAGATTGTTGTGTTATCCAATAACCGCTGTGATCCTGGTAAAACTATTACGGTACACCTGGTTTGGAATTTCAGTTTACACTTTGAAACCATAAAAAAACCTTTAAAATATTTAGTTATATTTTTGGATTTTGAGATAATATTTATGGAAAAAAGCTTATTGGTATAGATCAATCTTTCTATCTAATAACAGAGCCACTAAAATTAGTAATTAGTACATTAAAAATAACCTCAAATACCTCAGATCAGATGAAGTAAAAATATTCTGATTTTTTTGTTGTATCGACAGTAAATTTGCAACCAGTATGAAAAAATAAAACGTTAGCAAATAACTGTTATACACATGTGTCTATACGTGCAAATACCTCGCATTGCAATGCTCTATCAACTTCAAAACGGTTCTTTTGAAAGTATGCGGAGTTGTACGTTTTCTAGGAAATCGCAGCTCTTTGAAATACAGTCTTTTCCGGGAATAGAATAAGGTTACGGGACCCAAAAGTAAACGAAATATTATACTCCGACTTTTAGGTAATTAATAGCACTCCATT